TCATTATTTTACAGTTGAATTGGCTAGATGTAACCATAAGTTCTTAAGTTTCTTTTCTTGCTTTCTAACTAACTTTAATCTTCAGAATTTAAATGTAATGTCAACTGTTATCTACTGTTTTCTTGAATCCTCACTTTTATTATTTTTGCTCATTAATAAGGTTTTCTTCTTATTCATTAACACTCAGTAAGCCCTTGTGTTTCAGTGGCTTTATTGCCTTGCTTTGTGTGAAATGATTAAAAAAAAAAAAGTTACCTCCTTCATTGTTTTGAATCTAATATTTTTTCTTCCCTTTGAGTGGTTGCCCTACTAAGGCTAAAGAACTTGATCCACTGTACTATTTTATTCTTAGCTGGGAAAAAGTGAATTTAAGACTTACTGTATATACTCACATATCATGCAACCTTTGAAGACCTAATTTTGAAGCTAATTTTAAGGGGGTCACATCATACATGAGATATAAAATTAGTGTATGTACTGCTGGCTCTGGTGATATCATTAACCAAACTATATATCCATTTACTGTAGTCAAAAGTACAGCTATATTTAAAATAAACATTGCACATTAGACGTGTATATATGGTATCTCAGGGCATGAGCATGAAAGGAACATAACAACTTTGATCTGAATTTCAATACTGATTGCTGATATCATTTTCTGTATTGCCAGTAAGTATGCCGAATTTTCAAATTTTATTATAGATTTAGTCTACTTGCATAATAGTATTTCCATAATGCAACACACCTTAAGCTTATGAGTTGATAAATAACAGAAAAAAAATTCAGGATGTCTTACATCACTGGGACAGACAGCCTATATTTAACAAATAGATATACTTTTAATCAGTATAATTATGTCTTCAGGTGTATGTCATACTAAATGACCTTGTTGAAATTTGATCCAAACATGGAGGTAGATTGTCCTTTGAAGTATATCTCATAGTGGTTAATTTTCCCAATTCATGTTTTATTCCATTGAACTGGAGTGTAACTTCTCAGCATGGTCCAATCCAGGGATTGAACTCTCAACTACCAAGGAATCAGATATGTTTTAACTTTAATCCACTAGGCTATTTGTCTTTGAGACAATCTAATAGTGTCATTTTGGAGCCTTAAGTTTAATATCTATACTCAGATAGTGGAGGGCTATATCATGTTGAAACATGGGTTCCTATATGATCACCAAAGTTAAGTAACATTGAGCCTAGTCAGTACCTAGATGGGTAACTGCTCTGGAATACCAGGTACTGTAACCTTGGATGTGCAGGTGTAACAGATAACAGCTTGTAATTGGAATTCAAAGAGCTGAGTTTGAATTCCATTCAGGTTCATTATATTCATTTAGATGCAAATAACCTTCTCCTCCTAGCTATAGGTTAAATAGTAAGGCTTGTGCCAGATATGTTCTCAAAAATATTTTACAATCCAAAAATGTTTTATCTATAATTTTCAAAATGTGTGTGTGATCGGGTGTTTTTATGCATTTCCACAGTTTTCATCTGATTTCAATAAAATTTTCTTTTGATAGATAATTCTTCAGTGCTGGTTTTGAGTCCAAATTGTTGGCGACAGTGGCTCTCTGCTACTTCCTGTCTATTATAACTCTCAGCAATGTTTTACTATTTAATATTTGTTCTAGGATATATATCTTTCATAAAAACTTTAATAAAAATAAATAGTTTAAATTATTACAATAATATTATTTATTATTATACAGTTCTTTTTCATGGTCACCCCCTATTCAAATTGTTTACCCACCATTTGGGGATGTGCCTCAGTTGCACACAAATGTTGTTAGTAATATTGATCTTCAGGTGGGCTGACTTTAAGTTTAAACTGCTCCAATTGAATGGCAAAAATTCTCAGTAATGAAAAACCCGGTCAAAGACGGCTTATACTGCTAGTTTTTAAATAACTTTAAAAAGGTTGATAAATCATAAAGAAAAAAATATCAATCAATCAAATTTGAGTGTCTATCCTTTTCTCATCAGAGAGTATGTTTGTCCAAAAAGAAGGGCATATAATAAAACAGTATATTTTTGTAGTCATTTTAGTAGCTCTTCAGAAGAGTAATGGCGATATTGACTCCTTCTTTATAAGGAAACATTTGGAATTCATTGACTTAGCAACAAGTTCTCCTTTTGGTTGAAATTTATAAAATCTTTCTCTTAGAGCAATTTTTATTTTTTTAGGAAAATGGAGTTCTCAAATCCAGTAACTTATTTCTCTTTCCAGAACTGATGGAGGCTTCCTTTCTTTTGTTTGAAGTGTAATATGGCTACATTTTGATTGTCATTATTTTCTCTTTGACTTACATGTGCTATTCATTTTAGTTGCTGCTGCTATTGAAAATACTTAAGTGATGTGGTTTCTATATCTGTTATGTGGTACAGTTCTTTTTTTGTTATTCTGTCATCCACAAGGTTTGAAAAAGGATGGTTTTTGCTAAGAGCTACAGATTTCATTCACTCAAAGCCATTTTTAACCATTGATCTTAGACAGTGTTTGTATACAGCTGACAGTTTTGATATTTCTCAATGGGTTTGGCTCTATGCATGACATCCTTTGTCACTATGCATGGCGTCCATATGAAAGTCTTGATCTGATGAGGCCATTTAAGAACATGACAAGAGTTTTTAGGTTAATGTTTGGTTTTGTAGCGATTTATGGTGTTGGGTTAAAACTAACTTTAGTGCAGCCTATATTCAATTTCCTTTTCTCCTATACTAAATGTGTTATAAGAATAACTTAAATATAATCAGATACCTTATAGCAGGGGTTTCAAATGCACAGCCCATGGGTTGCTTGAAGCCTGCAGATTATCTTTGTGATTTACCCAGAACCATTTTCATGACCAATGTTTTCTTCATCTATATATAAAATTCTGTAACTTCTGTTTGTCTGTCACAACCTCCAAAATAGCAGTACATTTACCAATTGAAATCAAATTTTGGGGAAGAAGTGTAAACAGGTAAGGGGATACAAATTACAATAGGATTTTTATCAAAGTATTTTTCGAAACAAATCAGCTTATTCAAATTTCATCGATTGGTTTGCGAAATTGAATGAAATGTAGAGTTTGTAAATCTTGGCAAAAATGTTAGTGATAACTACAGCAATACTAAATACTGTGAGAATTTCAACACTCATCAGCATGTTGCAAAAAAATTTCTAGTTTTAATATATTTGTCCTTTCTATGCCAGCACACTCACTCACCCAATAAGTGAATAGCATGAAATAATCAACCCACTATACCCTGGTGTTTTTAACAGTGGACTGAAGGTTGTTTAGTGTGAAATGATATATGCATTTATTTTGATTAACAAATAGCAGATAATCAAACTTTTAAATTATGACCATAGCTATTCAGTATTACAGCCTTTGCTCATTTTACTTTTATTATTTTATTTTTTTTATTTTTATCATTTCACCCTAAGCAAGGCAAAAAAACCTCTAAAGGACAACGTCTTACTGTGTGTTAGAGAATGAGAAAAAAATCGCTATTAAGGAGAGAGAACAATGACAGAACAGGAATTAATAAAACGGAAGATAACGATTGACATTGCATTTAATTTAATTTTTTGAAGATCCAAGTTGTCTGGAAAGCAAGAACAAGAAGAAATTGTTAGCATGGAACTTAAGGTTACATTTCAACTGAAAAATGATTAGACCATACTGCCAATCTAATATTGTGCTTAAAGTTGAGGTACTATGGAGGAAAGTTCATCAGAAAAATTACCATGAAAGTATTTATAGAAAAGACACAGGAAAGCTGCATTATGGCAGAGGGAAAGTGATTGAAGCTGAGATGCCAGGTCAGGACTAAGGAAATTACAGATTCTTTGGATTTAATCAAGAATCTCTAAGTAGCAGAGCACCAGACCAGATATGGCAGCAATATTCAAAGCATAGATGAATGGTAGACTTATAAATATGTAAGATAGATTCAGGTGAGAAAAATTGTCTAGCATGACACAGTGAACTAAATTTCCTAGCAGCAGACCTAGAAATTGATTAAATATAATCTGGTCAAATCTATTGTCTTGTGGGGTGACTCTCCCCCAAATACCCCCACACATAGTGAAAATTTATTTGATTTATGAATATGGTGCAAACAAATTTTAATGCAAGTAAATGCGCTTCTACCACTGAGCACACTCTAAAGTTGATATCCTCCCCATTAGTAATGCCATTGCCTGTTACTTACTTGTACCTAGCCTACAACATGTAATGACCCTTTTGTCTCCTTTAGTTTGATATCCCTGCCTTATAGTATCAAAAAGTAAGATTTATAATACCTACCTATTGCCTGTTGTTATTTATGGAATCAAATTTATCGATTGGACCTCAACTTCATGCAAGAAAATTGATATCTTTCAAAAGTTATCTGTTGTGTCATGGGCAAAGTGTCTATCTTGTGGTGGTAGGTAAAAACAAATTTGCTGAATAAATTAATTTTGCCCTTTTTTTTTTTTTTTTTTTTTAAACCTACAATTTGTCTCAGTAAATCAAAACTGTTTACTTATATTGTATTGAAAATCAAGAAAGGGTTATCATTGTTCAGGAATTAATGCAAATGTTATTGAAAGAATATGGTTATTATATGTATATGTATTGCTGATGATTTTAATATAGAATTTGTAATGAAAATGAGAAAAGTGGTTGTCAGTGTTTAGAAATTGCCACAAACAGTACTGACTGAATAAAGAAATAATGTAAAAGTATTGCTGATTTTCTTGTACAGATACACTGAGAATTGCTGTGTCAAAAGCTATTATCAATGGTCAGGAATTATTATATGTATACTGTAAATATATTGATAATGATTTTGCTTTAGAAGTGTGTTGTGAATCGAATAAAAATGGATTGTCAATGGTCAGGAAATAACGCAAGCAATTCTGAAAGAATAGTTGTTATATGTATGATTATAAATTCATGCATTCATCTTGTTTTTTTTTTGTTTTTGTTTTAAATATTTTGTTTTTCTTTCTTGTTTCAGCATTGGGTTGATCCTACCAAACCACTTAAGAAACAGGTTAAAAGTATGTATATATTCTTTCATATTGATTCTTTTAGAATATATACTTCATTTAAATAAACCATATTTGTTCACTCTCTTGTATGATAACTTTGTTTTGGAGCAAAAAATTAAAAAAAAATCAGCCTGGTGACTGGTGATCTGTATGCCCAGACAGTGCCTCCCTATTGAACTAAAATCAGGCATACACCCTGATGTTTGTATCTAAGAGTTATGCCTTTCAGAAATTGTCTGGTTGTTCTTCTTTTATGTGCTGTGTCCCTTCAGAAAGTATGCAAGCATGTCCTTCCACTTCCTTCCTGTCCCTTGTAACTCTTATAACTTTTTGTCTTTTTGTTATATCTCCCAAACCCTGTTCTGCTATACATTTGCTCAAGCCCATCAAGTATATTACACATTGCTTTCCTCTGTCCTACTTTCCATCAATCTGTTTTGTGAGTATCAGATTTTCCAAGCCCTCCTTCCTCATTACATGCCTCAGAAATTTCAACTGCCTCTTCCTGATGTTAAGTATGAGTTTCCTTTTTGTTTTCATTCTCTCCAAAACCTTGTTGCTCACATGTTCAGTCTATGGCATCCTCAGCGTCTTTCTGTAGAACCATATTTGTGTTGCTTCAAGTCTCTTCCTCATTTTTGAGGAGATTGTCCAGCATTTGCTGCCATACAGGAAGCCATATGTCTCTATAGCAAAGAAAACAGTGACTTACCTCGTCAAACCAAGCGACAGCGCATCGTGTGTATCCTACGACGGAAAAGAGAAAATTACTTACCAAAAAGAAAGGGCACATATTCCGCATGACATGCTGAAGACAGAATATTTAGATTAAAAACAAGTCCGTCGCAGGAGTCTCTATAAATGTATTTCGTTATGCAAAATACTTGGCGACCTCTCCTAGTTGTTGACGAATGAAAAAACTGTTCGGCTGATAAAAGCAATTGGTGTTCTCGAATCGTGAGGAAAAACTAATATATTTTGGCTACCGCGTTTGTTGTTGAGTGAGTTATTTTTCTCACTGGTTACATGTATTGGGATTTGTGAGATAGTACCTGTGGATCGAATTTTCGGCATTTCTTTCTGCCCTCGATATTTGAGTCTGAACTTAGTGATTTGGCCTCTGTGTTGTGGAATTAATCTGTGACAAACATTTCCTTTGCAATCCCAGAATGCTTACAGTCTTGTAACAGTTAAGTATTCTTTTCTTTGTTTCCGACAAAACTTTTCTGTCTCTCAATACTCTGCCTAGCTTTTGGAATGCTTCTTGGCCATCCCAATATGTCTTCAGATTGTCTGGTTACTTAATTTAAAAATGACAGTGGACTGTAGGTGACAGTTGTATGCTGTATCAGATATATAGATACTCCATATTAAAACATTTTTTAAATTTAAAAAAAAATTGCATTTTATTAATTTTTAACTTTGCCTATAATTAGTCACATTGATTAATTTGATGATAATTGGTAATTGGTTACATCAGCATTTAATTATCTATTGTTCATCCCTTACTTGAATAACCAGTTATCTTAAATATAGAAGTAATTTTTTAAAAAATTACTGTATATTTCTGTATATAAGGCAACCTTTAACTCTTAAAATTTACCCTCCAAAATAGGCAGTCATCTAATGCAACAGTTACAAAAAGCTAACCTTAAATGTTGTGGTGTATTGGCACTGGTAACCAGGCTAATATGCTTGCACCATGGATTGCGTTAGGCTAACAACTGCTAAGGTATGGTAACTACCAATGTGAACATAGTTTAATCAATTCATATCATAATACTTATTACATTTATAAATTCTTGATTTCACATTAAAAGGCAGTATTTAAGAGGATTACACAACATTTGAAAAAGTTACGCTGAGCAACACTCACAAGTAACAAATAATGGAAACGAATCTTTTGTTTTTGATTTAAGCTATGGGTGCATTCACACCAATCATTATTTCTCGTTAGTTATGTGCCATGTGTGATACATGTTTAGGTGATCATGTATCTTTTGATACATGTTTAGGTGATCATGTATCTTTTGATACATGTTTAGGTGATCATGTATCTTTTGATACATGTTTAGGTGATCATGTATCTTTTGATACATGTTTAGGTGATCATGTATCTTTTGATACATGTTTAGGTGATCATGTATCTTTTGATACATGTTTAGTGATCATGTATCTTTTGATACATGTTTAGGTGATCATGTATCTTTTGATACATGTTTAGTGATCATGTATCTTTTGATACATGTTTAGGGTGATCATGTATCTTTTGATACATGTTTAGGTGATCATGTATCTTTTGATACATGTTTAGGTGATCATGTATCTTTTGATACATGTTTAGGTGATCATGTATCTTTTGATACATGTTTAGGTGATCATGTATCTTTTGATACATGTTTAGTGATCATGTATCTTTTGATACATGTTTAGTGATCATGTATCTTTTGATACATGTTTAGTGATCATGTATCTTTTGATACATGTTTAGGTGATCATGTATCTTTTGATACATGTTTAGGTGATCATGTATCTTTTGATACATGTTTAGGTGATCATGTATCTTTTGATACATGTTTAGTGATCATGTATCTTTTGATACATGTTTAGGGTGATCATGTATCTTTTGATACATGTTTAGTGATCATGTATCTTTTGATACATGTTTAGGTGATCATGTATCTTTTGATACATGTTTAGGTGATCATGTATCTTTTGATACATGTTTAGGTGATCATGTATCTTTTGATACATGTTTAGGTGATCATGTATCTTTTGATACATGTTTAGGTGATCATGTATCTTTTGATACATGACTGATGAGGCAGAATTTTTTCCCCGTAGTAAGTTGCCATTTCTTTCTGCATTAGACCAGTTGCCATCCAAGGCTACAGAACCCAGTCTGTCCTGCTATTTACCCTGGGAGGAGGAGGAGGAGAGGATTCATACCTTTCCCAAGGGTATTAGCATGTAAGTGAATGTAATGGATTCAACTGTAATTCGAACTTGGCTCTCCAATTCCTTAATCCAAGTTGCTATCCACTACTCCACCGTCTGTACTACAGATGTAAATGTAATAAAACTACTTTTACTTTTTGATCTCACTTTAAAATACAATATTCAAGAGACAATTACAAAACATTTTGCAAAAGTTCTGCTGGGCAACATGCACAAATAACATAAGCAAATTTATTTTGTTTTTGAATTGTACAGCTATGGATTTGTTCACACCATTTGTTATTTCTCATAATAGTGTTAAATAACAGTTCAGATAACATACAATATTGTAGTGTTAAATACCAATAACATGTAAACTTTATTTTTCAATAACACATTTTTCAATATTTTTCATGATGTTAAGCAACAAGACATTTAAACTTTTATTGCACATGACAGAATAAAAAAAAAGACAGCCACATACATAATTAAAACATTTTAAAATTCCTATGATCATCACCATCTGATGCAAAGAACTCCTCATAAACATTGTCATTTAGGATTTCATCATATGATCTTGGTCAATAATCTTATTCTATGGATATCACATAAAATTTTACCTTGATTGTGGGTCTTGTCTTATCTATAGGTCATTTTATACATGGAAATATACAGTATTTATTTTGCCCATCTTAAGACTAATTAAATTACTGATTTATCAACCAATTAATACAACCTAAATTTAAATCCTGTCTGCTGAAACTGCAAAATGCCTAAAGAACACAAGAAAATGAAATTGACAAATTATTGTAATTTCAGCTGAATCTGCATTACACGAGGAATTTTTTTCTAATCATTTACCCCTAAGCAAGGTGATAAAGCGACTAAGGCACAAGTTATTGAGTGTAAAAGAATCTAAGAAAAACATTGAGAGAGCACAATAAAAGAACAGAATTCAAAAAGACAGACAGAAAAAGAAAGAAACCAGAAGAGTTCCACAAGCAAAAATTTAAGGAAATATTGTTACATCTAACAATTTCAAAATTAACCTACTTAGGTGATTGTCTTGATTAAGTGAGGTAATATATCAATTTTATTTTTTGGTATAAAGTATGGATGGGTTAAATAGAAGAGCAGACTAGGCTCTCTAGCCATGGTTGGCAATCAATCTATGAGAAGGACAACTGTGAATTCAAAACCAGGCATTACTCTGACATTATGATAGATACCTTCAGCAAGATCTCTAATACAATTTGACCAAAGAGCTTCATCAAAAACAATTCATTAAACAAGAGTTGTGCAAAGATTATAAAGAGTTGTGTAATGGATTATAAAACTATTGTATTTTTTATTAACCTATAATTATACATAACTTAGAAATTTATCATATGTATGTATAAAGAAAAATACAGTGTGATATGGTACTGAAAAATTCTCAGCAGAACCAAGAAGGGATTATAAAAGAAATTCTGGTGTTTGGTCATTTAGACAGATTTTGGGAAATGGTTTGGGCCAAGAATTTTTCAGCACCTCCTTTATTATTATTTTTTATATATATATATATATATATATATATATATGGCTTGATGATGGTATATAAGCATGAAGCACTGCTGTTAATTTCAATGTCCACTTTTATATTTAAATACGCAGCAGAATCAGACCGGAAATAGGACAAGATAGTGCGGGTTTGTCAAAGACACTGGAACAAGGAATGCAATAGTTATGCTCAGAATATTATCAGGAAGAGCAATGAAAATACAAAAGGATGTGTACCTCTGTTTTATAGATTATACAAAGGTGTTTGATAAAGTTGTAATGAATTGGTCAGTCAACTTGACACCCCCAAAGTGAGTGGAGGTGGGCAGGCGCGGGAACTGTGATTGGTAGCTGGCTTGTTGGTGTTTTGCATAGGTGATTTACCAAGCTCTATGTGAAAGGCTGGAATGAGAAGGAGGGTAGTTTTCAGTCTCAGAAGTGGAGACTGCGTCCATCGCTATGACAGCAGGAGAGAAAGAGATGAAATCATTTTTTTCCTGACACATTCCAACATAAAAATAAGCCACAAAGAT